GAGCTAGTTCAGGACAGGCTTTATCATTACTACCCTGGCTCTGGCCTCTTCTCACCTAACCCCCATCCTCCCAGTAGGAGAAGAGAGTGATTATGGGTTTTTTGAAAACATGGAATGAAAGGTATGCTCTCTCCCATGAAGACACATAAGGGGGACTCGAAGAGACTCTATTATAAAATAAGAGCCTGGGGTGCCTGGGTGGCTCAGTTGGTTGAGTGCTTGAGTGTCCAAATGTTGGTTCTGGCTCAGGACGTGATCTCAGGGTCCTGAGACCGAGCCCCACTATGGGGTCAGTGCTTGGTATGGAGTCTGCTTGAGATTCTCTCCCTCACCTTCTCCCTCCCCCTTTGCTCCTCCATCCACTCATGTGTGCTCTCTCTCAAATAAATAGATTTTATTTATATGTATTTAAATAAAATATTTATTTGAGAGAGAGAGAGAGAGTGTGCATGCACGCAGGCATGAGCTGGGGAAGGGGCAGAGGGAGAAGGACAAGCAGACTCTCTACTGAACGGGGAGCCCCACTCAGGGCTCCATCCCAGGACCCTGAGATCATGACCTGAGCTGAAGTCAGATGCTTAACCAACTGAGGCACCACATAATAAAATCAGATAAGAGCCTGCTGGAAAGGGAGGCTATTATCTCATGCCCCAGTTGAACACTTTCTGACCTCAGAGTCCACAGGCCCCCTCTGCCAACTCTACAGGGCTGGAACAGTGAGAATTCCTGGAAAGAGTTTTGGGAGCCTAAAGGAATGAAAGTGAGCAGAAGAGCAGGAGCTGTGGAGCCCATGCAGTGGGATATGTAACCTAACGGAAGAGTCTGTACCATTGATGGGGCCCAAGAAAGACACTGCTGCCCTTTGAGGGTCCTCAACCCTGAGGCTATAGCATCAGAAGAATCAGAACAGACTACAGAAAGGCTCCTGTCAGCTCCTAACCACCAGCAGGCTGGCAGTCAGGAATACCAGATGAGTGAGAGTCCTAGAAGGAGGAGGGGAAAGAGGTATCTCAGAGTCAGGCCATGGTCCTTTCCTCTTCTCAAAGTTACCAGGACTAAAGCTCTGGCCTGTCCTGGGCAGATGAAGGGTGGAAGGGAGTAGCAAGCTTTGACTTCATTTATAAATTTAAGTTTTAAAAATGAATGGGAGGGGCACCTGGGTGGCTCAGTTGGTTAAAAGTCTGTCTTCGGCTCAGGTCATGATCCCAGGGTCCTGGGATCGAGCCCCACGCTGGGCTCCTCGCTCAGTGGGGAGTCTGCTTCTCCCTCTGCCCACCCCCCTCATGCTCTCTCTTTCATTCTCTGTCTGAAATAAATAAATAAGGGGCACCTGGGTGGCTCAGATGGTTAAGCGTCTGCCTTCGGCTCAGGTCATGATCCCAGGGTCCTGGGATTGAGCCCCATATCGGGCTCCTGGCTCAGCGAGGAGCCTGCTTCTCCCTCTTCCTCTGCCTCTCTCCTGCTCATGCTCTCTTTATCTCTGTGTCTCAAATAAATAAATAAATCTTAAAAAAAATGAGTGGGAATTTTACCTCAAAATAAAATGGGGAAGGGAGAAAATAACACCAATAAGACCAATAAAAGTGTCAAGAAGTTATGTAATTTGGCTAAAATGTTGTTGAAGGATCTGTTAATCACTGATAAAGTTAAAAATAGTGATATGAAAAAATAATCTCTTATACTGGTTAGAAATGATCAGATTTTTAATTTTAGCTGGTAAAAAACAAGACTCCTGTTTTTGATCTCTGGGAGTTTGAAAATTCTAATAAAGCTGGGAAGATGTGTAAAAACCATCTTTAGTCCTTGTGAAATATTCCTGGTTATTTGCTGACTAAAGCAAAGTTTCAATTTGGTGTCCTAAAGGAAAACCGTCCCTAAAATTTCTGGTTAAATAAACTACGAAATATCCTGTCTTTAAGACTCATGATGACCACTTGCGTATCAGTGGTATCCAAAAATTGTAGAGTGAAAAAATCTTTTTAACCAGGATTTCCAGAATTCATCTGAACAGAGTATCTTTTTTTCTACTCTACAATATTTATTGAGAAGTCATAGCAGTAGCGTTCTGTGGGATACATGGATGGAAACACTAGGTTAAAAATATGTGCTCCTTGGGGCGCCTGGGTAGCTCAGATGGTTAAGCGTCTGCCTTCGGCTCAGGTCATGATCTCTAGGTCCTGGAATCGAGTCCCACGTCGGGCTCCCAGCTCAGCGGGGAGTCTGCTTCTCCCTCTCCCTCTGCCTCTCTCCCTGCTCATGCTCTCTCTTTGTATGTCTCAAATGAATAAATAAAAAAATCTTTAAAAAAAATATGTGCTCCAATTTTACAACTCTGGAAGGTACTTTTAACTTTTGTTTTGCTAATTGACTGTTAACCTTACCCACAGTGAAAATGTACAACACTGATAATGAAGAGGAGCAGATATAAGAACGTAGATAAATGAGTGGGATAATTTTAAAGCTGTAAGAGTGAAATGGGGGTTAGTGTATTTACAACATACAAAGCTTTAAGATACAGCTGTTCAGTATAGAACATCTTCCTGCAATTTGTTTTATTTTTTTAAAAGATTTTATTTATTTACTTGAGATAGAGAGAGCACAAGCCGGGGGGGACAGGCAGACTCCCCGCTGAGCAGGGGGCCCAATGCAGGACTCGACACGGGGCTTGATCCCAGGACCCTGAGATCATGACCTGAGCCGAAGGCAGACGCTTAACAAGAGCCACCCAGGCGCCCCTGCAATTTGTTTTAATCAAGGGCAAGTAACCTAAAATAGTTTTGGGCTACATTCTCTCAAACATCCAAGGAATGTGGATTCAGTGTGCTGTTGGAAAGTTTAAGCAGCACTGAATTAAAGCTTATGTTCCACTAAGTAACAGAGCTAACAAATTAACAAAATGATTTTATGAAAAGAATAAGACTCAAAATTATTTAACTGATTTTCCCAACACCATTTGTTGAAGAGACTGTCTTTTTTCCATTGGACATTCTTTCCTGCTTTGTCGAAGATTAGTTGACGATAGAGTTGAGGGTCCATTTCTGGGCTCTCGATTCTGTTCCATTGATCTATGTGTCTGTTTTTGTGCCAATACCATACTGTCTTGATGATGACAGCTTTGTAATAGAGCTTGAAGCCTGGAATTGTGATGCCGCCAGCTTTGCTTTTCTTTTTCAACATTCCTCCGGCTATTCAGGGTCTTTTCTGGTTCCATACAAGTTTTAGGATTATTTGTTCCATTTCTTTGAAAAAAGTGGATGGTATTTTGATGGGGATTGCATTAAATGTGTAGATTGCTCTAGGTAGCATTGACATCTTCACAGTATTTGTTTTTCCAATCCATGAGCATGGAAGGTTTTTCCATTTTTTTTGTGTCTTCCTCAATTTCTTTCATGAGTATTTTATAGTTTTCTGAGTACAGATCCTTTGCCTCTTTGGTAGATTTATTCCTAGGTATCTTATGGTTTTGGATGCAATTGTAAATGGGATCGACTCCTTAATTTCTCTTTCTTCTGTCTTCTTGTTGGTGTATAGGATTTCTGTGCCACTGATTTCTGTGCATTGATTTTATATCTTGCCACTTTACTGAATTCCTGTATGAGTTCTAGCAGTTTTGGGGTGGAGTCTTTTGGGTTTTCCATATAAAGTATCATATCATCTGCAAAGAGTGAGCGTTTGACTTCTTCTTTGCCGATTTGGATGCCTTTTATTTTTTTGTTGTCTGATTGCTGAGGCTAGGACTTCTAATACTACGTTGAATATCAGTGGTGATAGTGGACATCCCTGCCGTGTTCCTGACCTTAGGGGGAAAGCTCTCAGTTTTTCCCCATTGAGAATGATATTCGCTGTGGATTTTTCATAGATGGCTTTTATGATATTGAGGTATGTACCCTCTATCCCTACACTCTGAAGAGTTTTGATCAAGAAAAGATGCTGTATTTTGTCAAATGCTTGTTCTGCATCTGTTGAGAGGATCATATGATTCTTGTTCTTTCTTTTATTAATGTATTATATCATGTTGATTGATTTGCAGATGTTGAACCAACCTTGCAGCCCAGGGATAAATCCCACTTGGTCGTGGTGAGCAAAATAAGTCAATCAGAGAAAGACATGTATCATATGACCTCACTGATAGGAGGAATTCTTAATCTCAGGAAACAAACTGAGGGTTGCTGGAGTGGTGGGGGGTGGGAGGGATGGGGTGGCTGGGTGACAGACGTGGGGGAGGGTATGTGCTATGGTGAGCACTGTGAATTGTGCAAGACTGTTGAATCACAGATCTGTACCTCTGAAACAAATAATACAATATATGTTAAAAAAAAAAAGAAGAAGAAGATAGCAGGAGGGGAAGAATGAAGGGGGGGAATCGGAGGGGGAGACGAACCATGAGAGACGATGGACTCTGAAAAACAAACTGAGGGTTCTAGAGGGGAGGGGGGTGGGGGGATGGGTTAGCCTGGTGATGGGTATTAAAGAGGGCACATTCTGCGTAGAGCACTGGGTGTTATGCACAAACAATGAATCATGGAACATTACATCAAAAACTAATGATGTAATGTATGGTGATTAACATAACAATAAAAATTAAAAAAAATTATTTAACTGAAACTTAAAGCTGTAAATCTACAATTAAACTCTTTTACATGCTCAATATCTGTCAGTAAATGCCAAAACTTTGTGAAGTATTATTATCAAAAAGAAGCAAATGTCAAAGGAAGAATCAGGTATATTAAATTTTTTGAAGTTTTAGGTTAAACTGTGGACTCAGTTTAGGGAGATTCATTCTATTAGGCTACTTATATTCTGGTATTTTCATAGAAATAATCCCCTAACTCAGGTAAAGAAGGGGAAGAAATTTATTTACTGAGAGTTTCACCTCAGTGAAATGTGGAAACAATTTGGAGTGCAGAAACAGTGTTTTTTTCTTTTTCTGAGATTTAAAAAAATATACATAGGAATGGAAGTTCCTGAATTAGAACATTTCACCCACAGGGCAGGCTTACCTGTATTCCAGCATGGCTACAGAGGTAAAAATCAAACTCATACGGGTGTGTAATATCTGTATCAACTGTTGTTCCAGCTGGGATATTGCCACTTCTTCCAACCTAGATTTGTTTGGTCAAAGTTTAAACAAACAGGACAAAGGTGAAGAATGTATCTGAAAGCACTTAAAAAAAAAAAAAAAATATATATATATATATATATATATATATATATGCTGATCCCGTGTTTCACTACTTTCAGCTTCAAATATTACTTGAGCAGGCATTAATAGCAGAGCTTATTCTAGTCCTGGTTCCTATTCTTACATATTGCTGAAAGTGAGAGCTGATAAACAACAAAGAGTTACTAGTGTCTACTGGTGCTTAGCTAGTAGGTGATCCCAATATGGGTGGAACACTTAAAAAATTTTTTAAAAAATTACTTAACTATTCCAATTTATGGTACCTGGGAACAGCAGGTACTCTTGAATGTGTAATTTATGAAAACTAGCATTTTCCTTGGCGAACACTGTATTTTCAGAGAGAAAGAATGCTGACAATAACATCAACTGTAGTCACCATTTGTTAACCATATATGGGCCAGGCACATAACATACATATTTCCAATCAATAAATTCCTGTTAATTAGGTATTATTACCACATGTTCAGGAAGCTTGGGCTCAGGAGTATGAAATACTTTGCTGAACAGCACACAATAAAAGGCAGAACTGGGAGTCAAGTACAGAACTGACTGCAAAGGCCCTATTCCTCTTATTTCATACTAGTAGTTCAACATCCTGTAAGGAAATCTGCACCCTGCATAGCTATGATGTGAATATGAATGAAATGGTTCAAAATTTCTGATAATGAAAGGCTTCTAATAAAACACTTTAAAATGCATATGTATACTCACCTCTGCCTCTTTATCCTTAAACACATTTAAAATCAGTAATTCTAAGTCTAGATTTATAAGGCTAACAAATTAAAAACCATTTTACTACTCAGATATTCTTTCTGCATGTGAGGGACTACTATCAGGTAGTGGCTTGAGTTATAGCTGTGTATATCAGTTAGCTTTCACCCAGTATAAAACAAAAACTGTTCATAATCAACTAAATTATGCTTACTCTTTTTTTTTTTTAAGATTTTATTTATTTATTCGACAGATAGAGAGACAGCACAAGCAGGCAGAGTGGCAGGCAGAGGGAGAGGGAGAAGCAGGCTCTCCGCCAAGCAGGGAGCTGGACGTGGGGCTCGATCATAGGACTCTGGGATCATGACCTGAGCCGAAGGCAGCCGCTTAACCGACTGAGCCACCCAGGCGCCCCTAAATTATGCTTATTCTTAATACATAAATCAAATTAACACATATAAAAAGTTTTACTCTACTTAGAGAAGTAGCAGAATAGGTTCATATCACAGCTCCACCAGTTTCTAGTTGTGCTATTTAGGGCATGGTACCTTACCTCTCTGTGCTTCTGATTCCTTATTTATAATTATCTCTCATCTATTAGTAGTAGTAGTATTTAGAACAAAGGTGAAAGAGAAGTAGACGAATGAAGGACTAGCATGACTAAACATCAGATGCTAGTAATCATTAAATCTAACTTAGGTTTTCCTAATCCTACTGTTGAAGAAACATTTGGTTTTCTAGGTACAAAAATGTACCCAGTAATTTGGGGTCAAACACCTTTAACAACCGGGAGGCCATAATAAGGAACTCTCACTACCGCTATTAGAGAGGTGCTATAGGACAGTGATAATGAGTACTCTGGAGCCAGGCTGCTTGACCCGAGTCCTAGCTCTACCAATTACTAGCTTTATAACCTTGTTCTTTAACCTCATATGCCCCAGTTTCTTCCTGTGGAAAATGACGATACTAATAGCAAACATCTTACGGTGTTGTGAAGATTAAATGAGTTAAATTTTGACACATACCTAGAACAATGTCTGCTATTATGATTTCTTTTCCTCTATTATTTTTCTTTTCCTCTATTATGAACACCATCACCACCACTCTACAACTACTAGCCAACCTTTATTGAGTGCTTAGTATGTGCCAAGCACCATTTTGGATACATTACATAATTTAATTTACTTAATTCTCTTAACAACCCAATAAAGGAAAATAGTAGTATCACCCAAACCTTGTTGGGAAGGAAACAGACACAGAGATGTTAAGTTACTTGCCCAAAGTTACACGGAAAGTGTAACCAAAGGCTAAATATATACCAAAGCAGAGATACACTCCTCTCTGTCTTTTCTGTTGACCCCTTTTCTCCAAGGAGACACCAACACTTGCAATCCTCAGATTTCTCTGCTCCAAGATTTGAAAGATGGGGGCCAAGACTGCTACTCGCCTATGCTGCATGTAAACAAGAAGACAGATTTCCCTAGGTATTTACCCCTCCTTCTCTAATTATAAAAATACATAGTCATACTACAAAATATAAAAAATAATTCTGTGGGGCGGTATCTGGCTGGCTCAGTCAGCAGAGCATGCAACTCCTGATTTCAGTGTAGTGAGTTTGAGCCCCACATTGGGTGTAGAGATTACTTAAAAATAAATAAAATCTTAAAAAAAATTCTGTGAATTTTAAAGGAAGCACTACTTAAAAGTTGCTTTGCATGAATTTCTACTAATCATTCTAGAAAGTTCCCAGCTTCTAAAAAAACTTTTTTAAAGTTTTATTTTAAAAATAATAATTTTTACAAGATATTTTTAAAAATAAATGTACCTTTTCCCCTCTGAACATTTAAGACATACAGAAATAGAAAGAACAATTTTAAAACTATGAGTTTCTTCACAATAACAAAAAGCATTAACAGGATTTCGAACACTTGGAGTATTAACAGAAATTCTAGGAAGTTAAAAAGTAACAACCTATTTTGATGCTTCTCTACTTGTAATGTGGTATGCTGAGATCTGCTACTATACACTGGAACCCATGCTGTTGGCAGACAGCCTTTGTTTAGTGCTCTATGAACTATATGAGGTAAGCTTGTTTTATAATAGTATTACAACAGATGTAAGATTACCCTTTCTGTCCTGTCAGCACAAAATAATCGAGTGTGATGTCTCTTCTGAACTACAATGTAGGTTATTCCAGGTTGATAGTCTTTCTCCAAACTGATGCAGGCTTCTCGAATTGCTAGTAGTTCATAATATAATACCTAGAGGAGATAAAATGGAAAGACTTGACATAGTCAGCTGTTCTCTTATACATACTTCAAAGTAAGACCATGATTTAGTTTTAGGACTTCTTAATCTTATCACTTTACAGCTAAATATACTTCTCTATTCCATTTTAACTATGACCAGAACATGATTTTAGCAACCAAGGCTTACAAATCCATAGTAAACATCTTAGAAGAGATAATCTAAGAAGTATCAAATTTTGACTTTGGGAATTCTCAACCTAATTAAGACTTCTAACCTCAGAACTAGACACCATATTATAAACACAGTATCTGATTTAACCATAGTATAATGAAATCCCAGGCAACCAACCTGCCTAAACTGTCCTTCTGAAACACCATCCCGATAAAAGATGATACGAGTAGGTTTGAACCGAGTTGATTTATAAAACTGAATGAGAAGTTCTCGAACCATGGAGGCCAAGTCCTGGATGATCTCCTGTCGGGGTCTCTGAACCCTTACTGTGGCACAGTATCTGCTTGGGTGGGCATCCATACTACCTACAACCTAGGTTGGAAAAAGTAAAGGAAAATAGAAATTAAGACAATCAAAACTATATCAATATGAATTTTACCACAATAAAAAAAATGGAAAAAAAGTACATGGATTTCATTTAAATTTGTATTTTATTACAACCTTATTATTTATTTTGAGAGTAATAAAAAAGTTCATTTTTAGTTCATCTTGAGAGTAATAAAAAAAAAAAATCAACAATTCCCAGGGGAGAACAGAATAAAAGACTCAGTATAGGGTTAAAAACTATTTTCTGGGGCGCCTGGCTGACTCAAGTTGGTAGAGTGTGTGACTCTTGATCTCGAGGTCATGAGTTCAAAACCCACATTAGGTATAGAGATTATTTAAAAATAAAATCTTAAAAAAACCCCAATGAACTATTTTCCTATAAGTAGGCTGTGCTTTACATTTTTTAAAAAAATCTGTTTTTATTTTTAAACTCTATGGCCAAAGTGGGGCCCAAACTCATGACCCTGAGATCAAGAGTCACATGCTCTACTGGCTGAGCCAGCCAGGCGCCTCTGTACATTTAATAAGATTCTAATTTATAGATGTTGTTAGTATATTTAAAAATTAGTAAGAAAAGAGACAGAAAGACATTCATAAGAAGAATAAGAGAAAGGAGATAAGAGGACCCATTCAAACCCTGGGTTTTTTTTCTCTTTTGTTTTTTTATTTTTATTTTATTTATTTATTTATTTATTTATTTATTTATTTATTTTTTAAAGATTTTATTTATTTATTTGAGAGAGAGAATGAGAGACAGAGAGCACGAGAGGGAAGAGGGTCAGAGGGAGAAGCAGACTCCCCGCTGAGCAGGGAGCCCGATGTGGGACTCAATCCCGGGACTCCAGGATCATGACCCGAGCCGAAGGCAGTGGCTCAACCAACTGAGCCACCCAGGTGCCCTCTTTTTACCTTTTGTACTTTAGCAAACCACCCCAGAAGCCACACTTAAGACTCTGAAACATCATCTTAGAACCGTTAGGCTTCATAAATTTTAAAAAGAATTTTTCCTCTTACTGCAATGTCCTAGACCAGAGGCTTGAATCCATAGTCCCTCTTATTGTATTGTGTTTGTGTTCTGCATCCAGTCCTTAAAGAAGTTAATCTTGGTTTTGAGAGTAACTATCTTAATTTTCTCTGTGTGTATACTGTTTAATATTGTTATGTGTTTGGAGTAAAGGAAACTTTGAAGCATGAACTTAAAAATTCACCTTGACTATAGTTACTCACAGACCTACTGAAGAATGATCTCCGGAACACGAATATTTTTAAAATGTCTACATTTTGATCAGAGCCAAGGCTGAGAACCAGGTGGACACTCTGCCTCCAGCTTCTTTCTTCCAGAGTAGTATTTATACCAGTGCTTCAAAAATGGAAGTCTGCACCCCCATGTTCACTGTAGCATTATTTACAGTAGCCAAAATGTGAAAACAACCTACCTGTCCATCAATGGATGAATGGATTAAAAAAAAAGTGGCACACATACACAGTGGAATATTATTCAGCCATTAAAAAGAATGAAATCTTGCCATTTGTGCATACATGGATGGACCTTGAGGGAATTATGCTAAGTGAAAAAAGTCAGACAGAGAAAGAGAAATACCATATGACCTCACTTATATGTGGAATAAAACAAAACAAAATACAACAGAACAAAAACAACCAAGCTATGGATACAGTGAATGAACTGGTAGTTACCAGAGGCAGGGCATGGGTGATAGATGAAATGGGGCAGGGGGTCAAAAGGTACAAACTTCCAGTTAAAAAATAAATTATGTCACTGAGAGGAACTATACAGTATGCAGTATGAGGACTATAATTAATAATACTGTATTGAATATCTGAAAGTTGCTGAGAGTACATCTTCAAAGTTCTCATCACAAGGAAAAATATTTTGTGATTATGTATGGTGACAGATGTTAATCAGATTTATTATGGTGATCTTTTAAAAATATATACGTATATTGAATCATTATGCTGCACACCTAAAACTAATATATGTCAGTTATACCTCAATTAAAATTAAATAAAAATAGTACTTCAAAAGAGTACTTAACTTCCTGTCAGTACTTTAATGACTTATTACTTGAAACCAAAATATGGAAAATTCTTGTTTCTCTTCTGTGTTAGGTCAGACTAGAAAATAATAAAGAGTTTTTTAAAAAATGAACTAGAACTCGTCTACTACATACTACTACTGGGATTGTATCTGCTTTTTCTTTATCTTCTACAGGTTAAAAAAAGGAACTCTAGTCATTTCTTTCCTCTGAATGGTAACTCACTACTAAAAAAATAAATCTATACCTCTTCTGATGACACAAACAGCCACACAAAAGCTTACTAGGCCTCACAATCTGTTATATTACACTCCAATTCCCTACATTTCTCAACATTCTTAAAACACACCAGGTTTTTGCAATCTAAATTTTAATTTATATTGCCATTAAATATCTATTATACTATGTGGCATTTATTACTTAGATTTTTCACAATGGTCTTTTAAGTTCTTGGGAATATTTAGATTTTTCACAATGGTCTTTAAGTTCTTGGGAATAAAGCCATATGCAAAAAGAATCAATTAATACATTCTACTTAATAATAAAAGAAAGTGGGTATTTGTTAGAAATAGATTTAGTAGAAAAGGACAATGACTACCCAGAAGTCCAACAATCCAACTATGCTTAAGCTTTCTTGGAAAATAGATCCCCAAATAGCAAATCCAAAGTAAGTTTTTTGAATTTCTTCTTTGAAAAAATAATTCCATTTACTATAAGAACATTTTTATGAATATCAGAAGTGGCTCCTCTTACTACCTCTAGAACATCTGAAATGACAATTCATGCATAACTATAAGAATAAAAAGCAACAGAATTTATTTTTTTTCAGCATTTATTTTTTAAAAGATTTTATTTTATTTTTAAAAAGATTTTACTTATTTGATAGAGAGAGAGAGAAAGAGAGCACAAATAGGGGGAGAGGGAAAGGGAGAAGCAGATATCCTGCCAAGCAGGGAGCTTGACACAGGGCTCAATCCTAAGACTCTGGGATCACGACCTGAGCTAAAGGCAAATGCTTAACTCATTGAGTCATCCAGGCACCGCAAAGATTTATTTATTTTAGAGAGAAAGAGAGCTTGAGTGGGCATGTGCATGAGTCGGGGGAGGGGCAGAGGGAGAGAATCTCCAAGCAGACTCCCCACTGAGTGCGGAGACCTACACAGGGCTCTATCTCAGGATCCATGAGGTCATGATCTGAGCAGAAACCAAGAATCGGATGCTTAACCAACTGAGCCACCCAGGTGCCCTAAGCAATATAATTTATTAACAGATAAAAGCAAATTTCTTCCACCAACGAAGATAGTTTTGGAATGTCAGGTGAAAATTTTAACATTACTTTAACATCATTTTCATGGATTAAAAAAATGTACCAGATTGTTAAAACTTGAAATTTATGTAAAAATTATAATGGGTGATAGAAAAAAAAATACATAAAAAGTCTTACAGTTTAATTTCTGAAATTTATCAAGTATGCCTAAAATATGTTGACATTTAAAAAATGCTGGCATTTTTAAAAAAGCAAGCAATTTCAAGTTGGGTAAAAAATTATCTGGCTTTCTGAAGTTTATAAAAGATACACTTAGGGCCCCCTGGGTGGCTCAGTCCAGTAAGTGGCTGACTCTCTTGGTTTCAGCTCAGGTCACAATCTCCAGGTCCTGAGACTGAGCCCCTTGATGGGCTCGGCGCTCAGCGTGGAGTCTGCTTGAGATTCTTTTCCCTTCCCTCTTCCTCCCCCCACCCCCGCTCCTCCCCCTGCTCATGAGCTCTCTCTCTCTAAAATAAATAAATGAATAAAATCTTAAAAAAAAAAAAAAGAAAAGAAATACACTTAAAAGAACTGACACAGAAACTACCAAACACAGAGGTGGGCAAAGATATAAAAGGCAAATGTTAAAAGGAGGAGTGGCAGTATTAAGTTTTTTTGTTTGTTTGTTTGTTTTTTGAGAGAGACAGAGAGAGCACGAGCACAAGCAGGGGTAGAGGGAGAAGGAGCAGACACTCCCTCCTGAGCTGAAGGCAGATGCTTAACCGACTGAGCCACCCAGTCGCCCGGAGTGGCAGTATTAAAACAAAGAATTCGGGGCACCTGGGTGGCTCACTTGGTTAAGCAACTGCCTTCGGCTCAGGTCATGATCCTGGAGTCCCGGGATCGAGTCCTGCATCGGGCTCCCTGCTTGGCGAGGGGCCTGCTTCTCCCTCTAATCCTCCCTGCTCTCATGTACTCTCTCTCTCTCTCTCTCTCATTCTCACTCTCTCAAAATAAATAAATAAATCTTTAAAAAAAATAAACAAAACAAAGAATTCAGAAAAGTATTAGATTGGACAAAGGTAGAAGATATTTTACACTGAAAAAAAAAAAAAGCAATCTACCAAGCTTTTATGTATGCATCTTCTGTAACAAAGACACTACTGAAATACATAAACTCTTGGAACAAAAGCTAACTGAAAATATATTACCACAGGCCAAATAGATAAATTAGGAAAAAAGACTTGAGTAATACAATTAATAAGCTTCATTTAATAAATATATATGTAACTTGTAGCCCCCAAACCAGAGAATGTTCTTTAAAAAAAATCCAAAGAATATTTGAAAGTTGATTCGATATATATATTTATAAAAATTGGTTTCAAAGAGGGTGTCATTAAAACTCAAAAAGCTGAAACCACAATGTTGATCATCTAAACTTTAGACAAGATAAACCTGCCTAATGACACTTACAGCAGCAATCGAAGGCTTCTTCCCATCACCAGCTGGTGGATGAGTGACGTCTGCTCCCAAAAAGATCACTGGTTGCTGGAACACAGAAGGTCTTAAACACATTTTTTAAAAGAGTTAGATAATTCATTTTTTCATTATGCATTTATCTGTTTATACTACTGCAACACAACTACAAGCTGATGACACAGCACAGAACAGCCACAAAGGCCTGAACTACTACTGCTTTAGTCTCTTAATTCATGAATTCCTAACTCAGTGAAGTAAAAGCTATCACAATGGGTCTATCCAATGTCTTGGATAGACCAAGAGCAAATTTTCTGCCTTAGGCAGTAGCGCTGGTGATTGCAAAGAGCCACATTCTTCGTAACAGACATAAAATGATAAACATCCTCATATTAATCCACCAGTTTGTACCAACCTTTCTGTAATCTACTTACATTTAAACTATGTAATCTCTCAATGAGAAAAAGAATCATTAAACTTTACACAGAAAAGGATTATGGGAATCTGCCACTCCCTCTCCCCAGGCCAAAAGTATAAATTTGAGAACGTATTATTTAAAGTAGCTAGTTGTTCATCTTATTTAAAAAACTATATCCTTTAAGATTCAAATGACTGTCTCTCAGTTTGTGGACTTGTTGATAAAATTCTGTATGCATCTCATTTATGAATCTCAATTATTTAACAGGAACAGGAAGTAGAGGAAAAACAGAAAAAAAGGGCTTTTGTGTCAAATACACATGGGTCTATCCTTAGTCTAATGCTTATTTGTGGTGCACACTGGTCAAGATATTTTACTTTTTAAAGCTCTAGTTGCTCCAACTACTAAAAGGAAACCTGTTGTCCAATTCTCCAAATAATACCTCTTCTCCAGGACCTGTTTCTAGGTCGTTATGTCACACTTCCTAAGAGCTCTTAGACATGAAGGAGATCTAACAGTAAAACCTATCCTCCCAACGACCGTAGCAGGGATTGATAACGGCTTATTTAACTGATTTACTTAATTCATATGTTCCACCCAAGACCCTCCCTTATTTCCTTACTTGCTAGGTGAGTGAGTAAGTAGTCTCATAACTCCAGGTTCAAGATGACTTATCAGCTAATGAGAAACTTCATTAATCTGAGCTCTCCAGCAAGAAATAAATAAAGCTCTCAATATTTTCTAGCTGGGCAGGAGGTTCTCTGCATATACTAAAAAATGGAAGTGGGAGGGGATTTTCACAAGGGAATCTCTTAATCATGCCTGAAATTCTTTTCTAAAATGTTTACTTATCTTCCATAGCAAGAATCAATAAGATTGTCTCTTACACTGATCTTAGATATGGCAATATACAGAATAATTAGGATATGAAAAATAATTAAAATTTAATTAAGTGGTTAGCTTATCTTACCTTTGATGAGGTACAAGAATATTATTGATCCCTCCGAGTTTAACATTTATCTTTAGGCACAGGTTTGAGAGAGTTTGAGGGGATGTTTTTATTACATTCTTGACTTGGACACACTGTGTGGCCATACCCAAAAGTGTATCTCCTACGCGTTTTACTTCCGCTATAGAACAAATGCAAATACCTCTAGTTAGAAAAAAGGTCAAACTTTATTGAAAATTAAGCTACTATATTTCCCCCCTTGAAATACACCATCCTATTACAGGACACCAAAAATTATAACGGGGTGACTGGGTGGCTCAGTTGGTTAAGGGTCTGCCTTCGGCTCAGGTCATGATCCCAGGGTGCTGGGATCGAGCCCCACATTGGGCTCCCTGCTCAGTGGGGAGCCTGCTTCTCCCTCTCGCTCTGCCTGCAGCTCCCCCTGCTTGTGTTCTGTCAAATAAATAAAATCTTTAAAAAAAATTATAAGAATTATAATAATAAAACAATACTGCCTTGAAGATTAGCTTACACATTTAGTGATAATTTTCCCAGTTGTTTTATTCTTTAGATAAGTATATTTTTGTCACCATAAAAACAGTATAACCATAATAACTGAAAAACCAGAAAGAAAAATATACATAATCCCTTGTTAGCATTTTATTGTACTTTATTCCAGTAATTTTCTCATTTATATTATTTTATTTAAAAAAATTTTTTTTAAGATTTTATTTATTTATTTGAGAGAGACAATGAGAGAGAGAGAGAGAGCATGAGAGGGGGTTGGGTCAGAGGGAGAAGAGACTCCCCGCTGAGCAGGGAGCCCGATGCGGGACTCGATCCTGGGACTGCAGGATCATGACCTGAGCCGAAGGCAGTCGTTTAACCAACTGAGCCACCCAAGCGCCCTCATTTATATTATTTTAATGCAATTATATTCATAGTATACTTATAACTTTCAATCTTATTTTCCAACTTTTAATTTAAAAAGTCTTTACAGTGTACAGAATAAAAGGCCCCTGTAACTTTCCCCCTCTTTGCCATTATAACCACCATAAAGAGTTCAGTGTACATACCTTTTTTCTTATAAAACACATGGAAAACATTTTAAAACCAAACTTGCATTCTATTTTGCAAACTGTCATTTTTCACTCAATAATATAGTATGTTCTGAATCTTAATATACAAATTGCTCTTATTTGTAACAAAAGCAGTTAGTCTGTTTTTAAATGCCATTTTATCTAACCAGTCATACATGGATATTTTTTAGCCTGTTCCAGGTTTTCATTGTTTTTTTTTAAGATTTTATTTATTTGACAGAGAGAGCAAGAGAGGGAACACAAGCAGAGGGAGTGGGAGAGGGAGAAGCAGGCTTCCCGCTGAGCAGGGAGCCCAATGCAGGGCTTGATCCCAGGACCCTGGGATCATGATCTGAACCGAATGCAGACGCTTAAGAACTGAGCCACCGAGGTGCCCCCAGGTTTTCATTGTTTCAAACAATGCTATAAATAATATCCTTGAGGGCGCCTGGGTGGCTCAGTTGGTTAAGCGACTGCCTTCGGCTCAGGTCATGATCCTGGAGTCCCTGGATCGAGTCCCACATCGGGCTCCCTGCTCGGCAGAGAGTCTGCTTCTCCCTCTGACCCTCCCCCCTCTCATGTGCTCTCTCTCTCATTCTGTCTCAAGTAAATAAATAAAATCTTTAAAAAAAAAAATAATATCCTTGACATTTATTTTTGTTTGGTTATATAACTATAGCTTAAGGATAAATTTCTACAAGTAGAATTCAGGGGTCAGAGGTGTATATATATATTTAACATTTTTGTAGATACTGACAAACTGCCCTCCAAAAAGGTTTATTCATTCATTCAACAAATATTTAATGTGCACCTAATACATGCTAGTACTGTATGAGACTCTAAATATACAATGTCTCTGAGGAAGATACACAAATGAGTAATAGGCACAAGAAAAGATGCTCCACATCATTAAGAAATGCAAATCAAAACCACAATGAGATACCACTTCACACACATTAGGATGGTTATTATCGAAAAGAAAAAAAAAACAGAAAAGAAAATAACAAGTATTGCTAGGATGTGGAAACACTGGAACCCTTGTATGTTACTGGTAGGAATGCAAAATGGTGCAGCTGCTGTAAAAAAAAGTAGATACAGTTCACTTGAGCAGCACCATCAATTAACTGAATCTAAAAGACATTTATAAAATACTTCATTCAATAACAGCAAGAACACACATTCTTCTCAAACTTACACAGAATATTCGGCAAGACAAACCACATTCTGGTCCAAAAACATACCTTAACAAGTTGAAAAGAATAGAAATCATACAAAGTGGTCTCAGACCACAGCGGAATTAAACTAGAAATCAATAATAGAAAGACAGCTGGGAAACCCCAATATATTTATATATTAATATAATTTTGTGCAACACCTGCATCAAAGAAGTCTTGAGAAATTTAAAAATATTTTGAACTAAATGGAAATGGAACACAATTTATCAAAATTTTGTGGGATGCAGGGTGCCTGGCTGACTTGGTAGAGCATGTGACTCTTGATCTCAGGGTCGTGAGTTTGAGCCCCAGGTTGGGTGTAGAGCTTACTTAATTAAGAAAACAAAAAAAAATTTTTTTTTTTTTTGGTGGGATGCAGTGAAAGCAGTGCTTAGAAGGAAATTATGGTATTGAATTCAATATATTAGACAAGAAGAAAGATCTAAAATTAATAATCTATGTTTTTACCTTAGGAAAATACAGAAAGAAAAATATAGACCTGGAACAAGCAAAAGGAAAGAAATACTAACAATCAGAGCAGAAGTCATTGAAATTGAAAATAAGAAATCAATAATCAATGAAACCAAAAAGTTGGTTCTGTGAAAGGATCAATGAAATTTATAAACATCCAGCCAAAGAAAAAAAAAGAGAAGACATGAATTATTAATATCAGAAATGAAAAAAAGTTCATCACTATCAGTCCTATGGCCATTTAAAGGAAAACAAAAGAATATTATGAACAATAGGCCCACAAATTTGATAACTTACATGAAGTGGAACAATTCCTTGAATGACACTACCAAAACTCACAAAGAAGAACCAGAAAATCTGAGTGGGCCACCCCCCTTTTTTTTTTTAAAGAAATTGAATCGGGGCGCCCGAGTAGCTCAGTTGGTTAGGTGGCTGACTCTTGATCTCAGGGTCATGAGTTCAAGCCCCACATTTTTATTGAATTATTGAATCAATAATTAAGAACCTTCCAAAAAGAGAGTACCAGGCCCAGATGTTTTCACTGATGAATTCTCCCAAGCACTTAAATAAGAAATAATATGAAATTCTCTATAATATCTTCTAGAAAACAGAAGCAGAGGGAATATTTTCTAACTTGTTTGAGGCCAACGTTACCCTAATACCAAAACCAGATATAGACATTACAAGAAAGGAAAACTACAGGTTGATATCCTTCATGAACATACATGTAAAAATCCTCAACATATTAGCAAATTGAATCCAACAATGTATAGTAATTATACACCATGACCAAGTGGTATTTAGCATGTGAATATCAATTAATGCAATTGATCACATTAAGAGACTAAGAAAAATCATGATCATAACAGTAGATACAGAGAAAGCATTTGACAAACTTCATCATGCATTCATGATAAAAACTCTCAGCAAACTAGGATTAAAGGGGATCTTCCCTAACTTGGTAAAAAAAAAATTACAGAAAACCTATAGCTAACATCATTCATACTATTGAGAAACTAGATTCTTTCCCCTTAAAATCAGGAAGAATGCAAGGATGTCTCCTTTCCTCTCACCACTCCTATTCAACATTGTACTGTTAACTCCTAGCTAACAAAAGGAAAAGGACATAAAAGTATACAGACTGGGAAGGAAGAAATAAAACTGTTCACAGAGTTCATGACTGTCTAGGTAGAAAAATCCAAAAGAAATTTTAAAAAGCCTCCTGGAGGGGCACCTGGGTGGCTCAGTCAGTTGGGTATCTGCCTTTGGCTCAGGCCATGATCTCAGGGTCCTGGGATCAAGCCCCACGTCAGGCTCCCTGCTCAGTGGGAAGCCTGCTTCTCCCTCTCCCACTTCCCCTGCTTGTGTTCCCTCTCTCACTGTGTCTCTCTCTGTCAAATAAATAAATAAAATCTTTAAAAAATAAAAATAAAATGAAAAACAGAGTACCATTTATATTAGTACCAAAAGAAAAAAAAAAGATTCACTTAGGTATAAATCTAACAAAATGTAAAAAAAAAAAAAAAAACTAACAAAATGTGTACAAGATCTATACAAAACTAGAAAACTTTGATAAAAGAAATCAAAGAAGGGCACCTGGGTGGCTCAGTTGGTTAAGCGACTGCCTTCGGCTCAGGTCATGATCCTGGAGTACCTGGATCAAGTCCCGCATCGGGCTCCCTGCTCGGCAGGGAGTCTGCTTCTCCCTCTGACCCTCCCCCCATCTCATGTGCTTTCTCTCTCATTCCATCTCTCTCTCAAATAAATAAATAAAATCTTAAAAAAAAAAAAAAGAAATCAAAGAAGCTCTAAACAGAGATAGTCCATCTTCAAGCACAGGAATACTTAACATTGTTAAGATGTTAATTCTTCCCCAACCTGATTGATAGATTCAATGTAATCCCAATAAAAATCTCAGCAAGTTATTCTGTGGATATTGCAAATTGATTCCAAAGTTTAGATAGAGAGGCAAAAGACCTAGAATAGCTAACACAGTAGTGAAAAACAAAGTCAGAGAACTGACACTACCTGATGTCAAGACTTACTAAAAAGCCACATTAATCAATACAGTGTAGTATTAGCAAATTAACAGACATATAGACCAATCGAACAAAATAAAGAACCCAGAAATAGACTCACACAAATGCAGTTAATTAATCACACAAATGCATTTCTAAACTTAAATGATTAACCTTTGACAAAGTAGCAAAGGCAATTTAATGGAGAAAGACAGCCTTTCAACAAATGGTACTAGAAAAAGCAGCCACATGCAAAAAAATGAATCTAGACACAGACCTTACATCTTTCACAAAAACTATAAAACAATTAGAAAGTAATACAGAAGAAAACTCAGGTGACCTTGCATTTGGCAATGAGTTTCTAATTATAACCCCCAAAACATGATCTGTGAAAGAAAA